GTGTGTGTGTGTGTGTGTGTGTGTAATTATATATCATATATTATCGTGATTGTTTTCATTCTTTTATAAAATAAAATGATTCAGCTACATCATTAAAGATAAAATACAAAGATACATTTGTCAGCATTAAAGAAATATTTATCTGCTCAACTGGTCGGTTTTAATATCTTCTATACTTAAAGAAATTAAAACAATAAATTTATTCTATTTGTCGCATGAATATATATAGATTATATTAGTATTTATAAAAAAAATTTACCGCATCATTATCCGTTTCTTTATCAGAAACAATTACAATCTGTTGTAAATATCCAGATATGAACGCGAATTTATTGAAAACAGTCTTACAAGATACATTTGGCAAACATTACATCTATGACATCAAGCATTTATTAGCTAACGTTACAATCGAATGTATTTCTGGCATCCGATACGCTTCTATCAATATTCGATTAAGTTTCCTTTGTAATATTTAGAAATCCCGCTACTCCATTAACATACGTAATTGCGTAATTCAATTGTTTCGCGCTTATAAAAACTAAGAAAAGCAACGATGAGTCATCAGTAGTCACGAAGTGTTCTCGTGCATACGAGTGCATTGGACACTGTTAATGCGACTGTACATAAGAGCTATTAAATTAATGCCACACATACGTAGATATACATAGCTACGGAATGGCTTGTGAAGTGCCTATCTAACCGGAGGAACTTATGACGCTTGATGTACCGACCGGTTAGATAAGCTGTTGTTACATCGCAGATTCGTATTGCACGGCAACGTATTACTCGTCGGAGACAATCGATGTAACCGATGCGGCGGTGGCGGCTGCGGCGGTGGCGGTGGCGGTGGCGGTGGCGGTGGCGGCGGCGGCGGCGGTGACGGTGGCGGCTGTACCTCTCTCGCCACCGTCGCCGTTGCCGTTGCCGTCGCACTTGTACAGATCCCGTAAGCGCGCGGCCGGACGCGAAGTGTAACGATGCCCCGAGATCGATAATAACCGCCGCGCCGCGTCGCGTCGTGCCGCGCGGCGCGGCGCGGCGCGACGAGGTTTGGTTCCTCCACCCCGAGAACTGCTCTCTCGTATACTCTCACATTCGCGAGACAGGGACATTTTTTTTTCTCTCGCCCTTCCCCTTGGTCCCACATCTTTCCCACTCTTCTCCCCTCCCCCTCCCCCTCCCCCCTCCCTCCTCATGTC